GTTGCAGTCAACTTGCTCCACGAAGTTTAAATCGTCGCTTAGATATTTACCTATTAAATTATATAAGGGTCCAGATTCTTGTTGGTGGCGATAGACACGCTGGTGACTTTCATTTCTAATCTAACCCCTTGAAAACAACTTTTCGCTCTTCAAAAAATAACGATTAAAAGGGGCAATACTTTAAATGCGGTATTTTCGTGTGCCGCAATGAAAAGTGTAATCATTGGCTGCTAAACTTTTACTCACCTCAATGAAATTCCACGGCTCTTTGCAGTTTCCTCGCTTAAATGCCAAACAAAACAATGGACTGATTTTACATTTCGCTCTGCGGAAATTAGAAAAGTTGAATCAGGGCAACTTCCTTTTGGCCGGGATCTGGTATCGGCCGAAAATTACGTAATATACTGTTGCACTTAAACTTTATCCTGGATGTCTTCAAACGCTTTCCTTCACCCTCCCCCTCTCCCCCCTCTCCTCTCTCTCCCCCTCTTCCCCCCCTCCTTACACTTCCATTATCCCTTATGACTTTCTCCAAAGGAGGTGGAAAGGGGAGAAACTTTGAATGACTCTTCCGTGTTTATTTCTCTGTTTTTCACCGGAACACCACACAGGATGGTATAAAACAGGTGTTGTTGAGAGACATGACAAGAATTATTAGTAATTTGCTATGAGCTATCTCGAGCTCCTCGTTACTTTGATCTATTTATCGTAATATCTTTACAATTCATTCGTAGTTCATGGAAATAATATCTATTCACTAAGCTAATTTCATAATTCAATTAATTGTATGACGAATTAACCTTTTTTCAGTTAACACATTTCCAATGAAATTAGAATAAAAAAACGCATTCTGAGCTGGGAGGCTAAATTGACCTTGTGACTTCCTAGCAATTAAAAAACATACAAGTTTTGGTGCGTACTCTTTTTATTAGTGCAGGATATAGAAAGCGGAAATTTATTCAAAACTTTTTAAAACAACGTTAACAATGAGAGTAACAACATCAACAGTACATTCCTATGTTTACAACTCATGACTGTTGCATGACTTTCACACCCGACACCTTACTGGTACGGTTTACTTTAAATGGCTTCTCTAATAGGATAGGGATAATTATTTTATGATAAATGAATAAAAAAGGTACAAAATTTCTCTCAGAAACAGAGAGACAAAAATATTAAACTATCACGCGAGGGAGACGACCTTTGAAAGG